GACGGGGTTTCACCGTGGTCTCGATCTCCTGACCTTGTGATCCGCCCGCCTCGGCCTCCCAAAGTGCTGGGATTACAGGCGTGAGTCACCGCGCCCGGCCGTGGCTTCATATCTCAACTAGCATAACCTCACCAAGGAGGCTGCCAAACTCTAGAATTAAGTTTAGGTCCACACAAGTGAAAGTTTTCCAGGTGAATCAAGAGAGATCCAAGCTGCACTGGCACAGCTTCAATGTCTCTACGAGGAGGCTGCATGCAGGCCGGCTCATGAATCAAGCGGAATGACAACATCTTGGGCAAGAACAGGAGGGCTGGTATTCAACACTGCCCACCTGGTCAGCTCCCTTGCCCTGGGCTCCAACCTGGCAATCCCAGGAGGGTTAAAGCAGAACTTCAGCACATGGGAATAACTGCAGAGGGAGGCACTGAAAAGGAGGGAAGGAAGAAGGTGTGAGCTCACCGTCTGCAGCTGAGGTTCAAACTCTTTGAGCTGGTCTCTTGCTTTTCATCAAGACAGCAAGGCAGTATTTGGTGAACAGTGTACCAAGTAGCCCTGGAGACTCTGAGCAGCCTACTCCCTTAACCACAAAAACACGGGACAGGCAGGGGTAAAACGAGAAGACAGGATCCAGGAATGGTGCACGCACCCAGTCAAAGGCCACCTTCCCTCAGCCACCCAAGCTGAGAGTGGCATCCCCAGGTCCTGTTAAGCCGCAAAGCTGCAGCCGTGTGGGCCCCAAGGCAATAGCACAGCTTGCTCCTCTGACCAACCAACTCCTTCTGAAAAGAAAATCGACTTTCTCTGATGGAGTCCAAACCCATTGAATCAATGAAATTCAACAGGAGCAGCAGTCACTACCTCTCCAATCGCGGACCTCTCAGGATGCCTGGTCAGGCTTAAAAGCCCCTAGAGGAGTTAGGGAGTTCGGATTTCTGATTCAGTGAGTCTGGGGAAACTCCGACGAGGGTCACAAGGGCAAACCTCCCCAGCCTCTCCTGCTTGGCCCCAGCCCTAGGACGAGCTGCGGTAAGGGCTTTGCTCCCCCCGCCCTCCCCAGACACACACACACACACAGAGCCGGGACGGGGAGGGTGGGAAGGAAGGAAATGGAGGCCGCTCATCAAAGCGCCCCAAATCAGCGCATCCGCGTGTGTCCTGCGTCGCCCCCAAGGCCACCCCAGGACCAAGCCCTGCCCTCTCACCGGAGCGTCCCAGCCACGCCTCCCCTCCAGCGCTGCTCCGGCAGCCTCGCCTAACCTCTGCACGCCTCGGATTCCCAGCTTCCTCGCAAATCGCGTCCCTCCAAAAGTCGCCCTAGCGCCTTCTGCAGCTGTCTACACCTCCCCCACTCCATTAGCAGCCCTTAACCCCCGACGGCCTGCTCCTGCACTTCTCTCTTCGGCAGGCCCCGGACCCCGGAAAACTACCCTGCTCCCACAGCGCCGCCCCCATGGGCCCCCGCCCCTTCCCGGAGCCGACCCCACTCGCCCTCGTCCTCCCCAAGATGTCTTCTCCGGGCGCCCCCGGGGCCCCGAGCACTCGCCCCCTCCCACGGAGACAGGAAGTTCCGCGCGGCCCGACCCGCTTCCCTCAGGGCGCGGAGCTCGGCGCGGCGGCCCTAAAAGGGCGCGGGCCCGGCCGCCGACCAGCGCCCCCGCGTCCCGCCCGCGGCGCCCCAACCGTCGCAGCGACCCCTCACCTCGGCGGCCACTCACCTCCCAATCCGCCGCACACTCCGCTCAGGCTGCCACGGCGTCTCCAGCCCCGGCTCCGTCCCGGCTCCCGCTCCCGCAGTTGCTCCGGCAGCGCTGCCCAGCCCTGCCCAGACCCCCCGCGACCGCTTCTGCCGCCAGCCGCGACCGCACCGCCCTCGCCTCTCCCTCTGGGCTCTGCCCATTGGCTGCCGGACACAGAGCCCCGCCCCACAGCCTCCCCGGCGCCCCCGATTGGGCCAACTGAGTAGAGCGGCGGCTCAACCCCTGTGAGCACGAGGGAAAGCCCCAGGACGCGTATTGGTGACTTCTCCTGTCAATCAAAGGGGGTGCCTATTTAATGGACTGCGAGGTTGGCGCAGGTTACTCTCCCAAAGCAGTTTGCCGGTGGTGGTCCTTGGGACTGGCTTCCCAGGGCCGGAGTTTTGCGGTTTCATCGGCACCCAGAGGTGGAGGGCGCGGCAGGGCAGCGCCGCACCTGACCGGAAGTTCAGGAAACGTAATCCTACAGTCTATCATAAAGTTTCCTCTCCCAAGGGACTCAGAGAAGCTAATGTCATTAGGAGCTCCTCCGACTTGCGCCATAAGCGTCATTCCACGTGGACCCGCTTAAAAGGTGGGGGGTGGGAGGGCGGATGTTGCTGCTCTCTCTAATAAAATACATTTGGATGACAAGGCACCAGGCAAAGTACACGCATTCTTTCCAATTCTCACAATCACCTTGCATGATAGGGTATTAGCCCCGTTCTGCAGAGGGAGATACTCCTGAAGGAAAATGGAGAGCACGTCCTGAGCACTGTCCTAAGCGCTGTCCAAGCACTGCTTCATGTCATCCAGGCGGAGAGGATGGTGAGAGGACCCCCAGGTGAGGGGTTAGCCAGGTAACTTGCTGGGGGTGATGTGGAGTAAAGAAAGTAAATGGCAGAGACAGGATTAGAAACCCAGGTCAGCCCAACCCTTGAGAATAATAATGATGACTGTGTAGCAATATGGGAAAATGCTTAAACTAAAATGTTAAAAGAAAAAGCCAGATACAGCCAGGCATGGTGATATGCACCTGGAATCCCAGCTACTTGGGACGCTGAGGCAGGAGGATCACTTCAGCCTAGGAGTTTGAGGCCAACCTGGGCCGCATAGCAAGACCCAGTTCTCTAAAAAGTGAAATAAAAGAAAATAATAGTAAAAGGAAAAGCTAGATACAAAATGGTAGAAACTGTAGAATTGCTGCTACATATAGATAGGGACGAGAAATGAGTCCACAAAAAAATCTAGTGATTGTTTACTTTCTAGATTGCTCTGTGGCATTGTCCTTGTGACAATAATTAAGAAAGAAATAAAAGAACTGGCTGGGCGCGGTGGCTTACGCCTGGAATCCCAGCACTTTGGGAGGCCGAGGTGGGCGGATCACGAGGTCAGGAGTTTGACACCAGCCTGGCCAACATAGTGAAAGCCCATCTCTACCAAAAATACAAAAAATTACCTGGGCGTGGTGGCAGGCGCCTGTAATCCCAGCTACTCGGGAGGCTGAGGCAGGAGAATCACTTGAACCCGAGAGGTGGAGGTTGCAGTGATCCAAGATCGCGCCGCTGCACTCCAGCCCTGGCCACAATGCGAGACTCCATCTCAAAAAAAAGAACCAACATGCAGTGCCAGGACAAGCCATTGCCAAGAAGTCTCTCCTCATTCTCCAGGACTGAGCCAACAGGGACCTCTTTGTCACCCACCATACCTCTGGACCATTTGTATAGAACTCAGCCATCAGCTCTCAGCACCTTCATATCTGGGTAAATTCAGCTTATATCGCAATTCCATGCCCTATGAAAATACAGAGCCTCGGCCGGGCGCAGTGGCTCACGCCTGTAATCCCAGCACTTTGGGAGGCCGAGGCAGGTGGATCACGAGGGGAGACCATACTGGCTAACACAGTGAAACCCCGTCTCTACTAAAAACACAAAAAAATTAGCCGGGTGTGATGGCAGGCGCCTGTAGTCCCAGCTACTCGGGAGGCTGGGGCAGGAGAATGGTGGGAACCTGGGAGGCGGCGGAGCTTGCAGTGAGCGGAGATTGCGCCACTGCACTCCAGCCTGGGCGACAGAGCGAGACTCTGTCTCAGAAAAAAAAAAAAAGAAAGAAAAAGAAAATACAGAGCCTCTCCCCAGTTTTTTGGGGGTTTTTGTTTCGGTTTGAGACAGGCTGGAATGCAGTGGCACAATCATGGCTCACTGCAGCCTTGACCTCCTAGACTAAAGCTATCCGCCTGCCTCAGCCTCCCAAGTAGTGGCAACCACTGGTGTGCACCACCATGCCCAGCTAATTATTTTTTAAATTTTTGTAGAGACAGAATCTCGCCATGTTGCCTGGGCTGGTCTTGAACTCCTGGACTCAAGCAGTCCTCCTGCGTCATCCCCCCAAAGTGCTGGGATTACAGGCATGAGCCGCTGTATGCAGTCTCTCCCAAGGTTTCTGAACAGGTGTCTGTCATCAGGCCTCCTGCTTTTCCACACACTGCATGCTCACTGGCCTACTGGCCTCACCATCATCCCCTTATCCAGTTGCACAAATCCCCCTGCACTCCAAGCACTGCTGAGTCTAGCAGGGGTTCCTGGAGACTGGAAGCTGGAGAGAGGCATCAAGCCTGACAATGCCCAGCAACAAGACAGGATGCCTTGTGAGCCTTTTTGGCCACCTGGCCCCAGGAGTCACCACCTGGTCATGTGAGCCATGCCACACTCTGGCCACTTCACACGCCTTTGGTTTTCTTCATTCTCCCCCTCTTCTTTTCTCTCCTCCTCCTTCTCAAGACAAACACAACATTCCTTTCCTTGTCTTGCACCCAGCAGCTTGACATCATTACCTGAACTCTTTGGGCCTTATACCTTCTGTCCTGGCAGCTTATCAGGGTATTTTTCCAAAGATAGCTCCCCGTTGCCAGATGTGAGCACCCCAACTTTGTTCCCCACAAACATTTCACAACATTCCATCCAGCCTCCTCCTTCAGTCATACTCGAACAGGCCTGGAGCCCAATCCTGGCTCCACCCCTTTTTAGCCAAGGGGCCTTGGGCCAGTCACTGCAGCTCTCTGCACCTCTGCATCCCCTCTGTGACGTGGGGATTAGGAAGAGTGACAGGGTTGTGGTAAAGAGTCAAAGCATGGAGAGTTGTTCCGGGCACACGACTGTGAATGCTGTGTCTGAACGGTGGACTTCTGGCCATGCCTTGTCAGCTGCTCCTTCCTTCCCTCAGAATGTGACCATTGCCACCAAGTGCCTGGGACTGAGACTGACCGGCTTTAGTTTAGTCCTTTATTAACCATTTCCCACTAAGCAGCCTGGATAAACAGTCTGGGCTAAAACATACTTGCACAGAGAATATAATAGTCTCAAAAAAGTTAAAACACCAGATATAGTTGTACTGCTGAAAATACAGAGACATGTGTATTTCAGTGTGATAAGTACAGTGATTTATGGATTGTACAGTGATATATGAGTTTTAAGAAAAAAAATCAAAATCTGTTACAGACATTCACTCACTCAATAATTCCAATATTTAGAACGTGCCAGGCAGGGAAGGTGGCTTGGGGTGGACCTGGGTCCTGCTGATGTTCCCGGAAAGATTCGGCAAGGACATAGAGTTTAGAACAGAAGAGGGTGCAGTAATATTGAAGACAGTACTGTTTACCTGAGCCAAGATGAGTGGAAGATTACAGAGAGCAAAGATCAGGAGGCAATAAATCCTCCTGTCCAGGAAGAGAGGAGGGTTCCACTTGGCTGGAGCATTGCAGGCACAAGGAGAAGCCAGGAAAACAAGGCAGTAAGACAGTCGAGCGGCAAGGAGGTCTGCGGCCCTGGCAAGTGACTTCACTACTCCAGCCCTCGGTTTTCCCTACTGTAAAATGGGGATAATCACAAAACCTAGTGATTGTTAGCTTAGGGAATCTGCAAGGATTTGTGAGTTCACTCTGCAATATTCAGGATGGGGCCTGGCACAGATCATTGTTCAGCGTGTTCAAGGGCCCCTAATTTTGTGAAAGTGTTTCAGGGTATATTCATTCTTTTTTTTTTTAACTGTGTCTGAAAGAAAAGCCTGGGCATGGTGGCTCACGCCTGAAATTCCAGTACTTTGGGAGGCCAACGCAGGAGTATCACTTGAGTTCAAGAGTTGGAGACCAGCCCAGGCAACATCATGAGACCTCTGGTCCCAAAAAAAAAATTAGACAGACGGGTGGTGCACACCTGTAGTCCCAGGTACTCGGGAGGCTGAGGTAGGAGGATCACTTGAGCCCAGGAGGTGGAGGCTGCAGTGAGCCAAGATCGCACCACTACACTCCAGCCTGGGCGACAGAGCAAGACCCGGTCTCAATAAATAAATAAATAAATAAATAAATAAATAAATAAATGGAAAACAAACCTAAGAACACATGCTGTGCACCAATTGTTAATATTTTGGCCATATCAGAGCGTTAACTATAGCGGCTGGAGGAACACGTTTCTGGAAATACCTCCGAATGACTTGCTCCCCTGCCCAGTATGTGTAAAGATCTGAATTCCTTGTAAATGTGTCATTGATTAGGAGGCAATTACCCCAATCTTCCTGGCTTTGTTGTGTTTTGTTCCATTCTGGCCTGCACATGTCTGCTCACGTAAAATTGTACCAGCAAGTACAATGTTCCACTCCCGTCATGCCCGGCTGAAGCCTGCTCCCAGACAAAGGTAGGTATGGAACAGCATATGAACAGGGCTTCCCAAGTGGGCACTGCCCAGGTGCCCTGAATTGGGATCACTCCATGCATTTTTTTTTTTTTTTTTTTTTGAGACGGAGTCTCACTCGGTCACCCAGGCTAGAGTGCAGTGGTGCGATCTCGGCTCACTGAAAGCTCCGCCTCCCGGGTTCACGCCATTCTCCTTCCTCAGTCTCCCAAGTAGCTGGGACTACAGGCTCGTACCACTATGCCTGGCTCATTTTTTGTATTTTTTTAGTAGAGACAGGGTTTCACTGTGTTAGCCAGGATGGTCTCGATCTCCTAACCTCGTGATCCGCCCACCTTGGCCTCCCAAAGTGCTGGGATTACAGGCGTGAGCCACCGCGCCTGGCCATGGGATCACTCAACTTTTTACAAGTTCTTTAATTGGTGCTACTACTATCTTATTTTACTAAGCGTAAAAGCTCATTTGGAGGGTTTGGGTTTACACTGTTACCATTTGTACCAAAGTGGGCCAGTGTCAACAATTTCAAAGTAACTGTTTTAAAATTTGGAATGAAAACCTAACAATGTCCAGACTTTCTGTGATAAATTTTAAAGTATTTTCTACTCTGGGATGAAGACAGAAACTCTGGCAATAGTCCCTCCTTGAGTCCTTGCTATGCAGGAGGATGAGGAGGTCCCAGAAGCCAACAGATTCCATTCTGAATCCAGCCAATCATCTTACCCTTTGCCAGCTCCTAATTAGATAAATTAAAAGGCATCCTGCAGTTGTAAAACTAAATTTTTTAAAAGTTATTGGATGCAATTGCTGTGAATCCAGATTGCCTTAGTATAAAGTAAAATGAGGGCCGGGTGCGGTGGCTCAAGCCTGTAATCCCAGCACTTTGGGAGGCCGAGACGGGCAGATTACGAGGTCAGGAGATCAAGACCATCCTGGCTAACACGTTGAAACCCCATCTCTACTAAAAAATACAAAAAACTAGCCGGGCGAGGTGGCTGAGGCAGGAGAATGGCATAAACCTGGGAGGCGGAGCTTGCAGTGAGCTGAGGTCCGGCCACTGCACTCCAGCCTGGGCGACAGAGCGAGACTTCGTCTCAAAAAAAAAAAGTAAAATGAGATACTGAGGCTACTTTTTAAAATACTGCAGCCTTCTCAAAATGTGAATGCATCAAAAAAGTAACATAGCCCTTGCTGGTTAACTTTATAGCAAAAATTTTCTCTTTTTAAATTTTTTTTTATAAACCTTTTGCATTCCTAATTTTTAAAGTAATTTTACCATTTCTTTATACTTTTTTTTTTGGAGAGAGACAAGGTCTTGCTATGTTGCCCAGGCTGGATTCAAACTCCTAGGCTCAAGTGATCCTCCCACCTCAGCCCTCCTGAGTAGCTAGTGCCGCAGACAGGCACTACCGTGCTGAGAATTTTTACACTTTTTAAATGTGGGTACAAGATTACATATGGGCCTTGCATGCTATTTATATTTTTTTTTTTCCTTTTTCTTTTGAGACAGGATCTTGCTTTGTCACGCAGACTGCAGTGCAGTGGTGTGATCATACTTGACTGCAGCCTCAGCCTCCCAAATAGCTAGGACTACAGGCATGTCCCACCACACCTGGCTAATGGTTTAAATATCTTTTGCAGAGATGGGGTCTCACTATGTTGCCCAGACTAATCTTGAACTCCTGGTCTTAAGCGATCCTCCCACATCAGCTTTTTTTTTTTTTTTTTTTTTGAGACGGAGTCTTGCTCTGTCGCCCAGGCTGCAGTGCAGTGGCGCAATCTCTGGTCACTGCAAGCTCCGCCTCCCAGGTTCACACCATTCTCCTGCCTCAGCCTACCAAGTAGCTGGGACTATAGGCGCCCACCAGCACGCCTGGCTAATTTTTTGTATTCTTTTTCTTTTTTTTTTCTTTTTTTTTAGTAGAGACGGGGTTTCACCATGTTAGCCAGGATGGTCTCGATCTCCTGACCTCGTGATCCACCCGCCTCGGCCTCCCAAAGTGCTGGGATTACAGGCGTGAGCCACTGTGCCCAGCCCCACATCAGCTTTTGAAAGTGCTAAGATTGGCCAAACGCAGTGGCTCATGCCTGTAACCTCAGCACTCTGGGAGGTCAAGGCAGGCAGATCACTTGAGGTCAGGAGTTCGAGACAAGCCTGGACAATATGGCAAAACTGCATCTGTACTAAAAATACAAAAATTAGCTGGGTGTGGTGGTGGGTGCCTATAGTCCCAGCCACTTGGAAGGCTGAGGAATGAGAATCACTTAAACCCAGGAGGTGGAGGCTGCAGTGAGCTGAGATCATGCCACTGCACTCTAGCCTGGGTGACAGAGTAAGACTCTGCCTGAAAAAAAAAAAATTGCTGGATGCTGGGATTACAGGCATGAGCCATAACGCTCAGCCCTATAACAAATATTAACTTGAAATTGTAAAATAACCTGTACATCAATACATACATTATACGATGTATACCAGCCAAGTGTGGTGGCTCACAAGCACTTTAGGAGGCCAAGGCAAGTGGATCACCTGATGTCAGGAGTTCAAGATTAGCCTCACCGACATGGTGAAACCCCATCTTTACTAAAAATACAAAAATTAGCCAAGCATGGTGGTGGGTGCCTGTAATCCCAGCTACTCAGGAGTCTGTAGCAGGAGAATCACTTGAATTCGGGAGATGGAGGTTGCAATGAGCTGAGCTCTTGCCACTGCACTCCAGCCTGGGCAACAGAATGAGACTCTGTCTTAAAAAACAAACAAACAAAAAAAAGTGCTGGGTGCTGAGATTACAAGCATGAGCCATGGCGCCCAGCCCTATAACATATAAATGTTATTAACTTGAACTTGTAAAATAACCTGTACACCAATACATACATTGTAAATTGTGTACCAATAAAAATAAAATGCCTGCCAGGCACAGTGGCTCATGCCTGTAATCCCAGCACTTTTGGAGGCCTAGGAGGGGGCAGATCACTTGAGGTCAGGAGTTCAAGACCAACCCTGAGGCCGAGCGCGGTGGCTCATGCCTGTAATCCCAGCACTTTGGGAGGTTGAGGTGGGTAGATCACAAGGTCAGGAGTTCAAGACCAGCCTTGCCAACATGGTGAAACCCCACCTGTACTAAAAATACAAGAAATTATCTGGGCATGATGGTGCATGCCTATAATCCCAGCTACTCGGGAGGCAGAGTTTGCAGTGAGCCGAGATCGCACCACTGCACTCCAGCCTGGGCGACAAGAGTGAAACTCCATCTCAAAGAAAAATACACAAACAGCAAGTTGTTCCATAAACCTGTGCCCAAGAGCTTAAAGGACATCCCCTCCCATCATCCTGGGACAAAGAGATGAATTGGAATCCCACCGCCCCCACGCCCCTGCCACACACACACATCCTTTATAAGCCACATGGCTATGGGCAAGCCACTCACTTCTCAGCTTCAATGTCCTCATCTGGACAGGGAGTTATAGCTCACCCCTGCTTCATGGGATGCTGCTGGAACTCAGTGCAGTCACATGGAGGAAGCGCTCAGTGTGCATGCCCGTGACGGCACACAGTAAGTACTGGCTCCACCAATGCTGGTTCCTGGCCCGGGCTGTCATGGCCCTAACCCAGAGCTGCCTCCTGGTCTGTGAAAGAGGAGAGCAAGCCACTGAGGTGCGTGGCAGCTCCCTCTCACCCACACTCCCTGCCCCGACGGGGGTGGAGCCAAGGGGTTCTGCCTCCCAGGAACGGACGTGTCTCTGGGGAGCTGACCTTCGGCTCCAGCTAGCACCCAGCCCACCGGCATTATCACCCACAGAAGAATGAGGCCCCATCTCCCCATCCTGCAGGGCGGCGCCTGCTGCCTGCATTCCACTCCCACAGCGCTCTGCACCTCCCAGCCTCCATTCCCACCCCCACCTGTCTCCCTGTCCCCCATTCTTCTGATGAGCCTCCAACAGGGTCTGAGACCCATGGGAACCCATACTCCAATCCAGGCAGCCCCGCTGGAGGCAGGGGGTGGGTGAGGCCAACTCTGCCTCAAGTTCTCTTCTCTCTGGGTCTGGGCCACAGATGGCGGGTCCAAGCTGGCATGGGTGACTGATGGTTGTAAGTTGTTGTAAGTCGTCTGTCTGGCCCAGAACTGTGCACAGCGCGAGGCAGATGCTGGAAGCGTGCGAGGAAGGAATCTTCCCTTTCCCCCGGAGGTGCATGAAGAAAGGAGAGCCCACCACATGGGCAGTCAGAAGGTGGACAGGCCTGGAGGGTGGTTTCACCTCACAGCTCAGTACGGGGCAGGGAGTGGGTGGGTGGGAGACAGGGCAGGGGGCAGCCGTGTGGAGCATTTGGGACCACAGAACATCTAAGCCAGAGGACCCCCAAAGGTGAGTCCTAGCCTCTTCTAAGGTGAGGAAGCTGAGGCCCAGGGAAGTCAGGCGAGTGGCCCAAAGTCTGCCAGCCATTAGGAGTCAGAGACCCCCCCTCAAATCAAACTCAGGCCTTCTGGCTCCTGCTCCAGTATTCTTTTTTTTTTTTTTTTTTTTTTTTTTTTTTTTTGAGACAGAGTCCTCCCTGTCACCCAGGCTGGAGTGCAGTGGCGCAATCTCAGCTCACTGCAACCTCTACCTCCTGGATTCAAGCGATTCTCCTGCTTCAGCCTCCTGGGTAGCTGGGATTACAGGTGCCTGCCACCACACCTGGCTCATTTTTTACATTTTTGGTAGAGACGGGGTTTCACCATGTTGGCCAGGCTGGTCTCGAACTCCTGACCTCAAGTGATCTGCCCACTTCAACCTCCCAAAGTGCTGGAATTACAGACTGAGCCACCACGCCGGGTTCTGCTCCAGTATTCTTTACCAACCCCATCTCTCCCTCTATTTAATTCAGTGGGTACATGACGTGAGCTACCATGCTGGGCATGAAGGAAAACTACTCCCCACCTTCAAGCAACTCATGCTAGATAGGGGGCCAGAGGAGAGGTCGTGAGCAGTGTTCTAGAGGGACTGGAGCCGCGCAGAGCGGGCCCTGGGAGGTTTCTGGGAGGAAACCTGGGAGGAGGAGTTTGAGCAGGTCCTGAAGATAGGCAGGGCACAGTGGAAGGAAAGGTGCTGTGGACACTGGAAGCGAAGGACTGGAGCATAGGCACATTCCTGAAGACCGTGGGAAAACAATCTTTTTTTTTTTTTTTTTTTTTTGAGACTGACCTTGGTCTTAAACCTTTTTAAGAGATTGTTTTCAGGCCAGGCGCAGTGGCTTGCACCTGTAATCCCAGCACTTTGGGAGGCTGAGGCAGGCAGATCATGAGGTCAGGAGGGGAAGACCATCCTGGCTAACACAGTGAAACCCCGTCTCTACTAAAAATACAAAAAAAAATTAGTCAGGAGGGGCGGTGGCCACCTGTAGTCCCAGCTACTCAGGAAGCTGAGGCAGGAGAATGGCGTGAACCTGGGAGGCGGAGGTTGTAGTGAGCCGAGATCGCGCTACTGCACTCCAGCCTGGGCAACAGAGCAGGACTCTGTCCCAAAAGAAAAAAAAAAGACTAAGGTCAGGAGGCCGAAAGGGCCTGAATCAAGTACCCAGGCCTGGGCACTCTCCCAGCAGCCATTCTCTAGGCTTTGGGGTCCTGGCAGCCTCTGGGTGGCATTAGGTGTGGGACAGCAGGCCCAGGTCCCCTCCTGCCGCTCCTCCAGCAGGCTCTGAACACACCCTTCCTGTTGTGACAATTCTATTCTCTGTGCAGCTGGTTCCAGCCCCTGGCTCAGGTTTCAGATTGCAGCATGTGCACTCATTAAGGCTGATGGCAGTATCATGTGGGCACCGGGGAGAGCCTGCCTGCCTGCCAAGCCTGGCCTGGGTTAATTACAGGTCACAGCATTCCTGCTGTGTGCCCAGACAGTGGGCAGCCAGGCTAGGACCAGGCCTGTGACACAGCCACCCACCACTCATTTGCACAGCTGGTGGGTTAGTCAATTGCCCATGGGGGCAGACCCTGTACTGGGCACACAGGGAGGGTCCCAGTGACTGCCACCCAACTAATTCCCTCCACAGTGGCCAGCCGCATGCTCAGTGTTTTATACACGGCACCTCAGGTTTCCTCACAATCTCCCCACTTTGCAGTTAGGGAAACTGAGACTCAGAGGTAAAGGTCATGTAGCTCATGTGTGGCTTCAAAGCCACGCCCTTCTCACACCCATGAGCACTGGCCTTGGAGCCAGGCTGGATGTCTGCAGCATGTTTCCAGAGCTTGCTCTGTGATGCCCTTGCCCACTGAGCCCCCATGCCCTCTCCGTCTCTGTTCTTCGGTTCCTGCAGCTCCCACCACCTGCCAGCATGCCCATCTGGCAGATGGTGCTCCTTCCTGGAGATCCCTAAACGCAGCACCCCTTTCTGAGGAGCAAAGGCACCTCCATGACCTGCTGTCTTTGTCAAACTGCAGTTAGGTAGCTTTGCTTTTTTTTTTTTTTTTTTTTTTGAGACAGAGTCTCGCTCTGTCGCCCAGGCTGGAGTGCAGTGGCCGGATCTCAGCTCACTGTAAGCCACCTTTCAGGTTCACGCCATTCTCCTGCCTCAGCCTCCTGAGTAGCTGGGACTACAGGCGCCCACCACCTCGCCCGGCTAGTTTGTTTTTGTTTTTGTTTTTTTCAGTAGAGACGAGGTTTCACCGGGTTAGCCAGGATGGTCTCGATCTCCTGACCTTGTGATCCGCCCGTCTCGGCCTCCCAAAGTGCTGGGATTACAGGCTTGAGCCACCGCGCCCGGCCTTTTTTTGAGATGGAGTCTCACTCTGTCACCCAGGCTGGAGTACAGTGGCGCAATCTCGGTTCACTGCAACCTCCACCTTCCAAGTTCAAGTGATTCTCCTGCCTCAGCCTCCCGAGTAGCTGTGATTACAGGCATGCACCGTGGCACCCGGCTACTTTTTGTATTTTTAGTGGAGAGGGGATGTTTCACCACATTGGTCAGGCTGGTCTCGAACTCCTGACCTCAAATGATCTGCCTACCTCGGCCTCCCAAAGTGCTGGGATTACAGGTGTGAGGGACCACACCCGGCCCCTTACTCTTTATATGCTGTATTAGGGTGGTACCTTTACAATTGATGAGTCAATATTGACACATTATTATGAATTCAAGTCCACAGTTTACATTAGGGTTCATTGTTTGTGTTGTAGTTTGTGAGTTTTGACCCATGCGTAACTACATCATACATAGTAGTTTAACTACCCTAAAAGTCCCCTGTGCCTCATGTTTTCATCTCTCCCTCTTCACTCCCAAGCCCCTGGCAACCACCAATCTTTTTACCATCTCCATAGTTTTGTCTTTTCCAAAGCGTCCCAGAGTTGGAATCATAATATTCGTAGCTTTTCAACTTGCTTCTTTCATTGGGTGATATGCATTTAAGTTTCCTCCATGTCTGTTCCTTTCTTTTTGAGACTGAGTCTCTCTCTATCGCCCAGGCTGGAGTGCAGTGACACCATCTCAGCTCACTGCAACCTCCGCCTCCTGGGTTCAAGCGATTCTCCTGCCTCCGCCTCCTGAGTAGCTGTTATTACAGGCGCCCACCACCACGCCTGGCTCATTTATATACTTTTAGTAGAGATGGGTTTTTGCCTTGTTGGCCAGGCTGGTCTCAAACTCCTGACCTCAGGTGATTTGCCCACCTGGGCCTTCCAAAGTGCTGGGATTACAGGCGTGGACCACCGTGCCTGGCCTAATTTTTGTATTTTTAGTAGAGATGGGGTTTTACCGTGTTGGCCAGGCTGGTCTCGAACCCCTGACCTCAAATGCTTGGCCTGCCTCAGCCTTCCAAAGTGCTGGAATTACAGGCGTGAGCCACCACACCCAGCCTAATTTTTGTATTTTTAGTAGAGACGGTGTTTTACCATGTTGACCAGGCTGGTCTCGAACCCCTGACCTCAAATGATCGGCTTGCCTTGCCCTCCCAAAGTGCCCGGATTACAGGCATGAGCCACAGCGCCCAGCCTCCTCCATGTCTTTTCAAAGCTTAATAGTTCTTTTCTTTTTTTGAGCCAGAGTCTTGCTCTGTCACCCAGGCTGGAGTGCAGGGGTGAGATCTTGGCTCACTGCAGCCTGGAACCCCTGGACTAAAGCAATCCTCCCTCCCCAGCCCCTCAAGTAGCTGGGACTACAGGCACACACCGCCACATCGCGCTAATTTTTCTATTTTTTTGTAGAGACAAGAGTTTCACCATGTTGGCCAGGCTGGCCTATCCAGCCTGGGTGCTATTCAAAGCCTGAAATGTCAAGGGCAGGCAGAGGACAGTGGCAGGGGCTACGTCAGAAGATGGCTGAAAGCCTCAGGGAAATGTTTTGTTTTGTTTTTGTTTTTGAGACGGAGTCTCCCTCTGTCACCCAGGCTGGAGTGCAGTGGCACGATCTCGGCTCACTGCAGGCTCCGCCTCCCGGGTTCATGCTATTCTCCTACCTCAGCCTCCCAAGTAGCTGGGACCACAGGCGCCTGCCACCACACCCAGCTAATTTTTTTGCATTTTTAGTAGAGACGGGGGTTTCACCACGTTAGCCAGGATGGTCTTGATCTCCTGACCTCGTGATCCACCCACCTCAGCTTCCCAAAGTGCTGGGATTACAGGCGTGAACCACCGCGCCTGGCCGGAAATGTGTTTTAATTGGGTGGATCGAGCAGGAGTTCAGCAGGTGAGGGAAAGGGGAGGGGACACACATACCGGACACAGGTATGGCATGAGCTGTGGCTCTGGGGCAAGATGGTGAGGAGCACAGGGGTGCCCGAAGGTTCAGTGCCTGTAGTTGGGAAGGCCACTCCAGGCTGAGTGATGGGGCCAAGCCAGGGGGCTGATACCCCAAGGACTCTCCCATGATGAAGGGATTCCTGGACAGCTGTTAGTCAAAAATTTCCAGCTACCCTCCTGTCTCCTTTCTTTCCCAAAGCCTTTCTGCTTGGGCTCACTTGCCCAAATGTGCCAAATGTGAGACACGGCACCCTCCAGGCTGGAAGTGGATGTCCTGTCCTGTCACCACAACACACCCCTGACCTTATGGCTGTGACTCAGCCTTCTTCCAGCCCAGGGTTCTGCCAGCCCCAAGCTCACCCGCCTTTGGCACTGGCCCATGTTCCAGCTCCACCAGCTGGGCTGTTCTTCCCCACAAGCCAGCAGGTGGTGGGCAGGGTCTGAAAACTGCCTGCCCGGGAAACCATGGGAGGGGAGGGGCAGCACCCAATGGCAGGTATGCCTTCATGGCGGCTAACAATAGCCAGAAAGCAACCAGACCCAGGCACAGGTGTGCAAACTTGGTCACCTGGGGGTAGGAATAGCCATTACCCTCATGTCACCATCTGCAAGGAAATATACTCAGAGAGGTGACAGAGCCAACCTGAGCTCACACAGCCAGTTAGGTGGGCAGGGAGTGCCTCCACGGCCTCCTAATTCCAGAGCTCAGGTTTTTTCTCTGGAGGTGTCTGGCACCGTTCTGCACACTGGGGCTACTGAGGGGACTGTGATGACGAGCTCCTGCCCTCATGGGGCAGCCCTGC